GCTCAATGCACAATCCGAAGGATACATACCCTCTTTGTAAACACCTAGTTGGGTCAGTGTTTGTAATAGTTTAGCGGTGTGCAACGGTTTATTCCTTATCAAACCAAATCGATATTTGAATCGGACCATATATGACCGAATATATGTGATCTAGTTCTTTTCTCTATAAGAACCAGATCGAATGTAATATGGTATGATCGTTGAGTTCTACAATTTCTCTTCCTATTGAATCGCAATTCACATGGTATGCTTTGATTTGTATTTCGCAATAGACCGAATCATTGCACATCCATTATGATAATTAACCAAGTGTTATAATTTATAAAGGCTAGAAAATTGGCTATAAGGGCACTAATTAACCCATAGGTCATATTGAAAAACAAATCTAAGGGTGGGCAACGGGACGAGACTGGGTACCCGTCTCGTTTGAAATGGATATCCAATCCCATTTGAAAAGGAAACTCCATCCCATGTCCCAAACCCGTACGGGTTAACGGGTACCCATTACTCGTATGGGACGGATAACGGATACCCGCTGGTACCTACCAAATCAACAATCTTGTGATTGAAAAATTGATAAGGGTGTTCACTTCTGATTTATATTATATATTGGACTCTTACGGTTGTGATTCTGTTTACACTGATTTCGCTCGAAATAGATTCATTGACAGAGTGCTCAACTGGGTGATCCCTCTGCTTTCCACTTCGGTTGGCTTGCCTTTGCTCTGTTAGCTGCAGCATCACGTTGAATGAAATCAACATGTATTTATTGTTAATGGCCACACACCATGGAAAGACGGTTTTTCTTTGTTTTGGGTTTTAGTACACGAGGCAACACCTTGTTGATTAATGAGGAAGGGAGGAATGAGATGGGGACGGGTAATTTGAGACGACGTCTTTTAGCAAAGGGCTGGGTTTATTATGGGATTCGTCAAATGGTACATGGGTTACTATATATGATGGGTAGTACGGGTACTCGTAATACTCAAATTGGTATTAACGGGTTACCCGTGGGTACCGTTGTGAAACTTTTTGATCACAAGTCCCATCACGTAAAAAAATTACGGATATTTGGGTATCCATAAGCCCAAAAAAGGGGGGACAAGTATGATATACCCAAATATTCGTTTTCCGTTGTCCACCCCTAAACAAATCAACCATGTCCTACTTTCAGTCCTAGTCCTTTGCATTAAAATGGAATGGATAATCAATCAAGTCCTAACCCACAATAGAATCCATATTATTGAATATGGAAAGTGGGTTTTACCTATATAGCCCCTTTGCCGGCGCTACGTAGAAATGTAGCAGAAATGAAATAATCCTTCCCAAATCACAAAAAAAAAAAACCCAAAGAAAAGCCATGTGAAAGGCACATGCATATAAGATGATGAGAATTTGAGAGCCTCTTCTCCATAATAATCCTTTCTTTCTTCGGGCCAGTGATCTGTAAAATGCTTTTTTGTGTTTTCTGCATCCTTCAATTAATTAAAAAACTATTTAATCACAATCATTAAATCTAATCCCACTGAAAATCAAGCATCACAGGATTGTTTTCCCTAATCAACAAGCTCGCGATTGCTCCATGATTCTTCAGTTTGCCGGAAAGCAGCCAAGGTGACTGATGAAAACTCACATTTTAGTATTTTGATTTATTATCTGTTTATTGCTATTTCGGATTATAGGAACTATTTTGGGAATTGGGGAATAATTAATAACTCGGGTAGTAGTAGGAAATTATCCATTTTTATATAAACTACTTGTACGTGGGATTAGGCCACTAAGCAAACATATACCTAAAACCTAATTGCGAAATCTCTCTCTCTCTCTCCCCCTTCCCTCTGCCGAAATCTTCTTCCTCTTCCTCCAAGGCAGCCGCGCGGCCAGCCTTCCCCCTCTCCTTCTTTTTGTCCAACCCAATTCCCCTTTCTCCTTCATTTTCTGTTCATCCCGAGATCAATCTCTAGTTGATCCCTCACCAATCCCAATCCCTAGATAGAATCTTTTCTCCAGATTCTATCATTTGGTATCAGAGCCTCATTCTTGATCAAGCATGGTGCTGACAAAGTTCATGACTGCAGTTGAGAAGGCGGCCAAGGCTGCGCAAGAGCATGCCGTGTCCGCAGCAATGACGGGGTTGTCGTCCTCCGCCGACGGCGCGGGTGTTGCGTCCTGACCACGGGATGGCGAACTGGTTGATGAGACCGCAGCTGAGAAGCTCTGCTCCGATGTGCAACTCTTGGCGGAGGCGATGGAACAGGAATGCCAGGCCAGGTTGAAGGGCGAACGAAACCGTGAGGCGGATTCGCAGGCGCTGTGGCTCGCAATTGGCGAGCTCAAGGAGATGCTGGCGGTGGCCGTGGGGCGCTTCAGAGGTGGCGGACGCGGCTCGACCGGCAGTGATGGGTCGGCGACAAAGGCGTCGGAGGAGGCCGCAAAGGCCGCGGCGGGCGAGGCACAGGAGGCGGCCGCCGAGCCTGGGCGCGGCGCGACTGGCGACAGACCAGGGACGGGCCCAGGCCCGTTAGGGTTGGGGGCTGGTTCGGGTCTCTTTCCTACACCTACGGCCCAGGAAATTGCGGCCCGCAAGTGTAAGGGCACGATGCCAGGTCATGACACGGAAGGGCCTCTATTGAATGTTGGATCAGAGGTGGGGGGCCAGTTCGCGAGAGGCGCCAATGGGCTTGGGTGGTTGGGCCTGGATGTTGAGCCCGAAGATGACGAGCTCAGTCTGGTGGATCGACAGGCGCAGTGGGCCGAACTAGTGGTGGACCAGAGGGGGCCCGAGCCTGGTAAGACAGCCGACCAGGCTGGGCGGATGGGATCCGTTCTTGTTGGGCGAACCATGGTCGGTTAGGCCGATGCGGGTCAGACCAGAGCAACTCGCGAAGCTGAAACAGACCGACACTGTGGCTGATTACCGCGCAGAGTTCTTCAAGTTGGGTAACCAGTGCAAGGGAGTACCTGAGGACACATTGGTTGGGCTATGCATGGCGGGCCTCAAACCCGAGATAGCAGCGGCGGTCAGAGTATTCTAGCCGGATTCTTTGAAGGTTGCTTTTCGTCTTGCAGGTCATAAAGAGGAAGAACTCACTAGCTGGAGGAGCACCATTGGCCGTTACACGAGGCCAAGTGGAGGGGGAGGAAGTAGTGGGGCTGGTGGCAGCGGGGGAGGATCGGCGACAGGAAGTGCACCAAAAGCTAACACCAGGAGTGGAAACACGACACCAGTAACCAGAGTGGGGCCACGACCCATACAAAAAGGGTTTGTGCGGCTCTCTCCGGCCGAGATCGAGCAAGAGAAGTGGGAGGGCAAGTGCTTCAATTGTGATGGTCGGTTCACCATTGGCCATCAATGTCCGAAGCCGGACCTGATGATGCTCGTTGTACGATGGGAAGACGAAGCAGAGGACGCGGCTGAGGACGTCGAAAATGGCAAGGAGGAGACCTAGTGAGTTAGATGAACAACCTTGGGGACAAGGTTGCTTTTCAAAGAAAGCAAGGATGATGGAAACTCACATTTTAGTATTTAGATTTATTATCGGTTTATTGCTATTTCGGATTATTGGAACTATTTCGAGAATTGGGGAATAATTAACAAGTCGGGTAGCAGTAGAGAATTATCCATTTTTATATAAACTACTTGTACGTGGGATTAGGCCACTAAGCAAACATATACCTAAAACCTAATTGCCAAATCTCTATCTCTCTCCCTTCCCCCTGCCGAAATCTTCTTCCTTTTCCTCCAAGGCAGCCGCGCGGCCAGCCTTCCCCCTCTCCTTCTTTTCGTCCAACCCAATTCCCCTTTCTCCTTCATTTTTTGTTCATCCCGGGATCAATCCCTAGTTGATCCCTCACCAACCCCAATCACTAGATAGAACCTTTTCTCTGGATTCTATCAGTGACTCAGCACGCAGAATGGCCCATCAGCATCCGAGCATCAAAATCCCAGTCCAAAGTTGCCCCTCCTCTCCTGTTACCTTGCAAGTTTACAGTTTTGTCAACATTCTGCTGCTTCTAGTTCTTAATCTCAACGCCTCCAGCCAATTTTCCGCGACACTTATATCCACTTTCTCCGCCACCACCAGCCAAGGAGCTATCAAAGTGTCTATCTTGACTGCAATAATGGCCTCTGTAGTAGATGTGTCTTCGGATATCCTGGCATTGCATTCTCTCCATCTGTTCCAGCAGAACGCATGAAGAAGAGACCTGGTACACCATTCGCTAGCGTTGGAAGGTTTGTTCTTGGGCCATCTCCCAATCACTTGAGAAATATCTGTTGGAAGCTGAGCAAAGAACGCGAAGGTGCGAATTAGCTTCCAACACCCTGCTTGTAACAACACCGGAGAGAAATAGGTGATTTGCATCTTCTTCGCTCGATCTGCAAAGAACACACCTACTAGCCAAGCTCCATCCTCTCTTCTTCAGGGAGTCGCGAGTAAGAATTTTCTTCTAGTGGACAGCCCACATAAAAGATGCAGATTTTGGTCGGGATATGTCCTTGCCAAAGGATCTTGTAAGGAAAGTTCGCCCTAGGAGGGAACCTGTCCTTGACAAGGGATTGCTTCATATATTTACCAGAAACAAATTTGTGAGACCACAGACTTTAATGGTCCCAATTCGTGAGTCACATCTATGACCCGATGTCATCTACTTTTATATCCCCGTTTAAATATAAAATGCTCAAGTTAAGAGTAATAAGATAATTTAGACATCAAACTTTTTCAAGTCCATAAATGAACCAAATCTATCACAAATTCATGGTTTTTCGAAACTCAGGTTTTATCAAAACCTTATTGTTATAAGAACCAAACCAGATCAACAGGTGAACTAGTAAAACCATCAAACTAGTTACAATAGTGGTTCGGTTCATTTACTTGGACGATTATACATGGATCGAATGGTGTTTAAAGATTTGACATAAAATTAGATGGACCACTTCGAGTTGATTGGTTTCCTATTTTAATTAAAAAAATATTTTAACGCTTACTAAGACCAAATAACCTCAATTATTAATTTTATTTATACTTTTTTTTGTTCCCAGCCTCCTCATCCACTTTATGTGGCTACTACAGATTACCACCCTGATTACTAACTTGAATATACTAAAATCAATTATGATTCTTTTGTGAGAATGTTTGAATGATTTGTTAGAACTTTTGGTGATGGATGATAAGCATTTGAAATTGTTTACAATCATATTAATTCCTAAATTACTGCATTATATATGTCTATGTTATAGCGCCTGAACAATTCTATCAAATTAACGAACAAGTTTATAACAGTTAACCGTTGAGCCATAAACTACTAATTTCTTCAATTCAATTTTTGATTTGGTTATGAAAACTGGCCTGACTTTTCAAATCCAATAAGCAAATTACATATTGGAGTTCCACAATGAGATCTTCTTGCTTTTGCTCATTCCCATCAGTCTGTCTTCAGTTCAGATTGCAGGCTGCAACTCGGGGTTTATCCCTTGAGTGGATAGGCGATTGGTTTGGGAACCATTGTCATTTCCTATATGAGAAATAATTATTGGCAAAATACTCTTCGATAGCCACAACTTTCACGTTTGTGACAGTTATAACCACAACTTTTGAAATACACGAAATAACCATAAATTTTATGGTTGTTCAACAAATCTATCCATTTTCGTACAAACTTTAACGGTGTTAGATATTTCATCAATTAGGTTGATGAAATGCTAGCTAGATACCAAATTGACGCACACGTTAGCTACAACTCACCCTCAATTGCCATGTAGATGCCACGTCATTTAGTTTAAAAATATTTTGACCAAAATACACTTCTATAGCCAAACTTTCACGTTTGTGTCAATTTAAGCCACAACTTTCACGTTTGTGACAATTTAAGCCACAACTTACGAAATATATAAAATAGGCAGAATTTTGATTGTTGTTTGACAAATCTAGCAATTTCGGTTACAAACTTTCGAAATACACAAAGCAATTGTGATCCTATCCTCGATTTCTTCTCAGAATTCTGTTTGAGGGAAGGCGACGAATCAGGCCAATTGACTACGATGAATCAGCCTTCACCGAAAACAAGAATAACCACAGTTGCGACGTTTTCGAGGAATTAGAGGGGGAAATGCACTACGAGCCGCCACATACTTCCTTCCTGACCCATTGGCCTCTGTCGCCACCGGAGTCACCGTTTCCTCTTTCACCGCTACCACCGATGCCTTCTTCTTTGCGGCTATCGTTGAGCTTCTTCCTAGTAGCCTTCTTGTCCCTTTTCTCGCCTTTTTTCTGCGACTCCACCAAACTTCCAAGGTCTTCTTCTTCAATCTCGCAATGGGGGGATCTGAATCGGCGTTTTGAGAAATAAGGCATTCTTCTCCAATCATACTATTAAGTGACACCGTTAAACGAGGAATGGAATTTCGTGTATTTTGAAAGTTGTTCCTATAATGTCACAAACATCAAAGTCGTAGCTATGGAAGTGCATTTTGTTTTTTTTTTTATTTTTTTTATTAAAAATTCATATGGATTGGTGGGACGAAATATTGTCAACTCAGCATGTCCATTAATCCAGTCCAGTCACACTGTTTAGTGACATCCGTTAAAAAGATGCACCGAAATAACTATTTTATTTATTTCGAAAGTCGTTCCTATCATAAACGTGAAAATGAGTAACTTTTTGTATTTTACCTTAGTTATTTGTTTTCCGTTTCAAGGTGAGATTATCCATAATATAATTTTCTCAACCTCACTATTTTCCTCCCTCGTTCCTCTCCGCCACAAAGAAAGCCTCTTCCCTTTTTTCCTTTCTTCAACTTCGACTCTGAGCTTTACACATATCGTGTTGTTCATCATCACTACTGGCTGGATATTTTTTGCTCCCATCTCACACCTTCCTCCCTTTCTTTGTTCTCCGAGATCTAAAAGCTCTCAGCTTTTGTATCCTTCTCACTTGGAACTCTTAAATTTTCGATACTTACACTGCATAGGTAGTAGCGATAGACGCCGCTTCTGTTTCCCCTAAAAAGCTTTTTAGTTCTGCCGTTGCTTCTCTTCGTATACCCACTTCTAACTTGATCTATTAATCGATTGGATTCTCTCATTCTATTCGCCATTTGTTTCCTTCTTCAATTGACCGCAAGCTCTTGTGCCCTTGTTTACTCTCTTTCGTCTCTTCTGTCTTGTTCCTTCTGTTGTTTTGGTGCCAGATATTCAGGGGTGAGTTGCCCTTTTCCCGATTCGGGAACTTGTTGGGATTACCTAATTTCTTTTCCGCGCGGAATTGATTTCCCTGATCTTGCTTTGCTAGTTGGATTCGATTTGGCTTCTAAGGAAGTTCTAGGCTTTGTTTTGCTGGGATTCCATTTCAGATTTTTCTGGGTGGTGGCTGATCTGGTGCCTAAGTCTAACCCTGTGAAGTTTTGGCTATCTGGGTTCTTCTTCTCTACTGGTCAAATTGACACTCGAGAGCTTTCAGTACTTCTGTAAGACACTGCGGTTTGTGGGTTGAGGCAGACTCTCGCTTGATACAGAATTTTGGGGAAGATTAATGCGTTGTTGGTATTGAGATGCAGCCTGATCAGCGAAAGAAGGTAAAAATATGCTGTTATGCTTATTGGTCATGATGTGGTGTCATGTAGTTCGTTGAAGCGAAGATCAAAAGTCTAGTCCTAGTCTCCTAGACATGAACTATGAACTGGGACCTGTAATCTGCTTGTCTAACTCTACAGTCGATTTTGGGATGTTAGATTCTTAACTTGGATGTCTTTGTATCTCTGGATGTGGTAACTGCACACCTGGACTTGAATCAACACCTTTTCATGTTTATCCCTTTGACACATGGTTTGTCTCCCTATTGCCGGGTTATGGCTGGCCCACTGTCGTATTAACTATATAATAACGGGTTTGCTGATCAACTGCCTATGTTTTGGATGAATTGTTATGTGAAACAGCCCGTTGATAAAATGATAAGCTAATTACCATCGTAGATTCATATTGGTACTTGACTACTGTGTATCAGAGTTTAGTTTGGGTTTGATGTATAACTGAAATCTGGATCGAGTATCTGTGACTGTTTCAGCTTGTCTATGGCAGTAGCCATTAGGTTGTTGCTATCATAAAGCTAGTCCATGTTATTGGAAGTTAACTTAAAGCCGGCTGACATGAGAAGAGAAACCAGCTATGGTTAGACTGACAACTCTAGCAATGTGAGATTGTCTCTAAGAAAATGCAGGCCAAGTGCCTTTTTTTGTGCTGAGTGTTTGCACATGTCTCTGCCGAATTCTGGTTTTGTTCAAATATCAATAGAATAGTGCTGGTCCATTCAGCAATGTGTTCCATCTAAGTGTGTTCTTCTTCTCCTGTGTCTTGACACATTTCTGAAATTTTGCTGCAGTCTGTTGATGTTGACTTTTTCACCGAGTATGGTGAGGGTAGCAGGTATAAAATAGAGGAAGTTATTGGCAAAGGAAGTTATGGTGTTGTTTGCTCGGCATATGATACACATACAGGAGAGAAAGTTGCAATTAAGAAAATCAATGACATCTTTGAACATGTCTCTGATGCCACTCGCATCCTTCGAGAAATTAAACTTCTTAGGCTTCTACGTCATCCAGATATTGTGGAGATCAAGCACATCTTGTTGCCCCCTTCCAGAAGGGAGTTTAAGGACATCTATGTAGTTTTTGAGTTGATGGAATCTGATCTACACCAAGTTATCAAAGCAAATGATGATCTAACACCTGAGCACTATCAGTTCTTTCTTTATCAGCTTCTCCGAGGCCTGAAATACATACACACTGGTGAGGGGCTTGATAGAATACCTTGAGTCAGTAAAAGCTGTGAACTTATACTCTTTCTTGCAAGTGCTTGTGGTTCATGCCTGTATTGATTCTTCTTTCTACCAGCAAATGTGTTTCACAGGGATCTAAAACCCAAAAACATCTTAGCCAATGCTGACTGTAAATTAAAGATTTGTGACTTCGGCCTTGCAAGAGTTGCCTTCAATGACACTCCCACAGCAATTTTCTGGACAGTAAGTTCCAGTCTTTGATGAATTTACACGTAGAGGAACTCCGAGGAATAATGTAGATTATTATCAATTTTCTATCTATATAAATCTAATTGTTTCTGTTGTTGCTCTGTCCCAGGATTATGTTGCGACGAGATGGTATAGAGCTCCAGAATTGTGTGGGTCATTTTTCTCCAAGGTGCCTTGTTACTGCTTTAAAGCTTATCTTTGATATCTGTTTTTTTTTTCTTTTTGGTTCACACTTTGTCACACTAAATACTGCTTCTTCCCTGCCCCTTTAGCCTGTCTGACATGTGTCTTATGTGCTTCACTTCCTTCATAGAATTGCTAGAAATGTTTACATATAGTCAATTACAGACCTCTTGTGAGTTTTCATTTCAATTATACAGTCGGATTCCCCTTGTGAGTATTCATTTTCTATTTGCTATTCTGTGTATATATGCAGTACACACCTGCAATAGACATATGGAGCATTGGATGCATCTTTTCTGAACTTTTGACCGGGAAACCTCTTTTCCCTGGGAAAAATGTAGTTCATCAGTTGGATCTGATGACTGATCTTTTGGGAACACCATCTTCTGAAGCAATTGCGAGGGTATTTTCCTCTCATCATCATGTATTCCGTTGTGTGCATTAATTTCTAAAGTTGCTTATGCTAAAATGAAAGCATCATTATCATTTACAGGTTCGTAACGAGAAAGCTCGTAGATACCTTAGTAGCATGCGGAAGAAGAAGCCGATTCCTTTTACTCACAAATTCCCTCATGCAGACCCTCTTGCACTTAGGTTATTAGAAAAAATGCTAGCATTTGAACCCAAAGACCGGCCTACCGCTGAAGAGGTGAGTTTCTCTATTTACTCATCTTGTCACTTGGAGAATGAATGAATTCCCCTCTCAAGAGATTTATAATTATACATATTTTTCATTTTACCAGGCCCTTGCAGATCCGTATTTCAAAGGTTTGGCCAAAGTTGAGAGAGAGCCTTCCGCTCAACCTGTTACCAAAATGGAATTTGAATTTGAGAGGCGAAGAATAACAAAAGAAGATGTGAGGGAGCTCATTTACAGAGAAACACTCGAGTACCATCCAAAAATGTTGAAAGAATTCTTGGAAGGTTCAGAACCAACAGGCTTCATGTACCCAAGTGCTGTTGACCATTTCAAGAAGCAATTTGCTTATCTTGAGGAGCATTATGGAAATGGTGGGCCTGCTGCTACTCCGCCAGAGAGAACTCATGCATCATTGCCAAGGTATGCTTAGTATTTTTTTTTTGTTTTTCTTTTTCATGCTGCCATCCTAGAGATTATATTCACTGTGTTCAGTACAATGTTGCATGCAGGGCCTGTGTATTATATTCAGATAAGAATCCTATGCTGAGCTCAGCAGCACAAGTAGCAAATGATCTTTCCAAATGTTCTATCAAAGAAATTGAGAAGCCACACATGGACAAGAGTGGTGGACCTGGTGGTATCCCGATGGCAAGGCTTCCCATTCAAGTCCCTCAAAGTATTCAAGGTAACCCACGCTCATCTTTCCTTTCTTCAAACCCCATCTGAAAAAGTGGTTTGGATACATACTAAGCTCTCCTAACACCAAGCATTTCAGTGGTTTGCATTAGAGTTCCTTCAATTATGATTAGATTTGTGTGACTAAGAACTTGAATGACATATCTCTACAGCGGGCCCTGCTCGTCCTGGGAAAGTTGTTGGCTCTGTACTGCGATACAACAACTGTGCCACAGCAGCCGATACAGTTGTTGACCAGCGAAGAATGGTCAGAAACCCTTCTACCACATCTCAATACACCTCTTCGAACGGTTCATATCCAAGAAGAAACCCGGGCTGCAAGAATGACAGGGGAGAAGACGATGGAATTGAAGGGTCCAATGGATTGCAGCCAAAACCACAGTACATGGCAAGGAAAGTTGCTGCTGCTCAAGGTGGACCGGGAAGTCAATGGTATTGAAGTCAATGGTATTGATGATGGTTATACACCCCAGTAGGCACACTTTGACTTCCATCTCTCCACTCTTGTGGATGGTCATCACCATCATCCCTTGATGGAGGTGCTATGAACTGGACTCACCTGCTTCGGGTACTCTATCATGCAATGGATTTCGTCGGTGCTAAAGGTGATTCGAAAGATTGTGGTCGGAGGAACTTTCTTGGCTTGGGAGGATGAAGTGGAGCGGAGAATGGAACAGGTTGTAATTTATTTCTCTAACTGAGGTTAAAAGAGCTGAAATAATTAGGTTCTTGGTCCGTTAGCATACCGGTGAGTTGCCATGTCTGATTTAGCTCAGTAGTGAGTCCACGTGAAAGGAGTCTGATGTTCGTAAATGGGAGTCGGGTAGTGTTGGTTGGTTGCTTACCAGATTCTCTGCACCTCTTCTTGTTCTTTCCTTTGTAGAAGTTTTCCTACCCTTATTTTGTTCACCCCAAATTATTCATTTTTCGCTACTTGTACACTTCTCCTATCTATGTATCTCTGTCAAATAAAGATTCTGGGTTTAGTACTTGTGATATTCCAGGGCAATGTATCTACATACGGACTACCTAGTTGTTACAATTTGTGCTCACTTATTGTTTCATGCAAGCATTGCATCCTATGATCAATAATTTACTATTTGCGCTCGCTTATTCTTGTATGCAATCGTTGTATCATATGATCAACTGTTTACTATTTTTGCCTCGCAATTTCCTGCTGCGACGCCATTGTATCCTATGATCAATCGTTGATTGTTTGGAAAGGTACTGTTTGTGCAATCACAGGAAAAGATACTAAATACTTACAGTGCCATTTGCATTACATCAAACTACATTACAAGCATTGAAGCACTATCTGTCTGACTATCTTGGTGTTGCATTTCAAGGTAACTGTAATTGGCTACTGCAGGTTAAACTGAGCTTGGTACCTAACTTGTCCACTCAGAACAGTCAAAAGCTTCCATGAATTGTTTATTCCACAAGCAATACAAACACAATGTATACACCCAGATGTCTGCTCCAGCCTAATTGAAGTGTATCAATAGCAGAAATGTTAAAAACTTACATCACAAGCAGAAATGTTAAAGCTTCACAAATTTGAAGATACTATTCAATGTTAGTGAATACACTACACAAACAAATGAAACCCCCGATCTACTACTCACTCTTGTTTTCCCTTACATTCTTTTCACTATGCAACACCTACAATGGTCGGCACAGTTTGCAAAACTGTGCAAAGCCCTAACAAGATCTTCATCGCAATTTCATTTTCTCACTTACACCTACAAATCAATGGATCCTTTGCTTCACCCTTCTACCGTTCATATCACCGTCCAAGCTTTCGATCCCAAGAGCAGAAGCAGCAACTGCAGAATGCTCACTAACTCTGGCAACATACTGCAACAGTTCTGTGATGACTGTAGGGCAACTTTGCTTCAGGTACTCAAATCCATCAGTTTGCATGACAGCTGCATAAAATTCACCAATGCTTTATCATGAGTCTCAGTGGCAAAAGTTGAGAACTATATGTTCATCATAAGAGCACTTCTAAGAGCCCTTATACTAAAGGAGACAAAAATATGCTCGTGCATGAATATGGAGGAAAGAAGATTCTAAGTATATAAAGGGGCCAGCATTGTTCGTGCAAACTGCATTGTTGCATGTAGTGCTGGAAAAGAAAGATTTAAGCAACACGAAAGGGAGGTACAAGGTAGGCTAACCTTTCAGATTTTCAGGCAATGCAATGAATTTGAGGCAGACAGCTTTTAATTGGAGACACTGATGTTGCTCGGCCAAAGCTAGTGTTGTTGCAACTGTATTTATTGCGACATCCTCACATAGTTTTGCTTCACAGAGTAGTCTGAGTCTCTCTAATGCATAACGGTCAGCTGCCGCAAGTAGATGCTGTGCCATTAATGTGGCAGCCCATTTGGGGTTCACTACACCAACAAGGTCTTCCATGTCAGGCAGGGCATCCCAATAGATGAAGTGTAGTAGAGCCTGCAGACATTCCAACACAAAGTGAGGAACAAATTACATTTCAGAACTGTCCAATCTCAATCTAACTGTACGAAAAAGTAACATAGCAACTTCAGTGTTAACCAATATCCATAATTGAGATAAAAGGAAAGAAGCAAAGCCCAGATTTCCCCAGACATCCAAGACAGGAAACTGCAGTTCAGCACTTCAGAATCTGAGTTTGAAAAGATTCTGCTGCATCCTTGGCTTCAGATCTATTTCCTCATAAGCTGAAAGGAAGAGTTTTCACAACCGACCGAGACACAAGATATCTCTGCCACCCCATTACATGTACACAAAAAGCAGGGGTGAACAAAATGAAGCTCCTGGGGCAGCACCAAGGAAAAGTTCCTTCCAATGCCCCAAGCTAGATGAAGCTCTTCACAATAACTGCCCAACCACAGATAATGCTGCCAAGCTTAAGTAGTTATGGACAAGTACCAATTGTAGCAGCATCTATCACGAGGAGAAACCAAGAAGTAGAGCTTAGCTGGTGTAATAACTGTTCACAGGAGGAGCACCATAATGGATGAAAGCAAAAAGTATATTTGAGTATGGCATCACAATCATCCTGTCTGGCACCATAATTACTCACCCAATACAGGTAACCAACCTACAAAGGCTCCCTCTTTCCATGTATCGTATAACAAAGTCCAATTTACCAATGAACAAATCATCATTTGTTGCAAAAGCATTGATACTCAGCTAAGTGCTAAAAACCACAAACTATTCAGATCAACCACAGAAACAAAGCTACTTGGAAGGTGAGCTAAGCAAGTCATTACCAAGCAGGATATCACAAAATACAAACTAGTGTGGGTTCTGATAATAGTAGAACAGTTTGTGGCTGAAGATACGGTGTTTTCTGCTCTTCTCCAGGTTTCTTATGTGCGGAAGTTATTAAAATGAAGACAGCTTAAATAAGCAAATTACCGTACATAGAGAAGCACCAGAAATACAAACCAGAATCATCCACTCAAATGCAACTGAAGAAAATAAGAGAAGGGCAAACAAGCCTAGCAAAAAGGGCTGTCAATGATGTTCTGTAATCAGATAAGCTTCCTATTAACAATATCGCGTTGCCTGCCGGTCTTTATAAAAAAAAATCGCGTTGGTTGGAAAATGGGAACCACCATCAGTTAAATAATTTTAAAATGCCAACTTAAGTACTGACATGTTTGTGAAAGCAACAAAAGCGAGAAACTGGTATAGAGAAAGGAGAAAGAGAAATTGAGAGAAAGAACCTTAAAGACTGGGGCTTCTACGTCTTCAACTTTCAAGGACCTAGTGTTTTGGTCCTTCATTGGACCAAAAAGCTGTGCCCTGAATACTGGAGAGCGTGCAGCAAGAACAAGCTTGTGTGCAGAAAACATTTCACCATCAACTTCAAAATTTACATCGGACCCCTTCCCACTTTCCAAGAGCATTCCAAACTGAAGACCAATGTCAGAAGGTGGCACAGGAATTGAATAGGTCCGAGGTCCCTCTGTCTGCGTCTTAACAACACCAACACAACAACGGATCACAAGTTTATCGTCCTTCAGGTAATCTGAAGTCTCCAGTTGAGTTCGTTTGAAAAACCGCTTATAACCCCTGCAACAACCGAAACATAAGCATGACTACGTCAGGCCTTCCTCAAGCACCACCCATCATGCCCATCAGTATACAATTGAAAAATTTAAGTCTAATAGTGAATGCTTAAATAAATAGCTTTCAAGGACTCCATCACACGTCTAGTACCACTGGTTCTACCAGATTGACAATCTTGGCAACATTGCATCGATTTCCAATATCAAGCAAAGATACCTAATTTCAGGTGAGTGTGAAAACTTAATCAATCATTCATGTGAGCTTCTGCTACAATAAACCGCTTTCCTCGCTTTAATATGCTCGACTCCCAAGTAGAGAGTTTTTCTTCAATTCATCACGAGTCTAAAAGAAGTACTCAAGTTAACTACATTACCAAACCCAAACCTAATAATAAGCAACTGCCTACAAATCATCTTATCCGGTTACCTCCTCCTTAAAAGACATTTATTTACAGTTAGACACATTCATCTCCCGAAATGATAAGCACTAGTGCTGCAATATGTCTCTCATCTCTATTCAAAGATAACGGATTTTCATTTGACTTCAACATGTCTCAACATGTAGTATGAGCCATAACTCTGCTACTATAAACCTCTAAACTTGTTTTAAGATAGCAAACTCCCAAGTGCTGAAGTGTTCTCAAACTCGTCAAGAGTTTGAATGAAGTAAACAATTTGACAATCCAACCTTACCATAACCAATAGGCAACAAATCACATTCACTGATTACCCCTCCAACAAAGACATTAGCTTTACCGAGGGATGGCACAATCATCTCAAAATACTCGGTGTCATAGCGTAATCGAAGAGCCGTGAACAAGGATAAAGCAAATTGCACAGCCAGATATAAGCACTCACCACATACTCCCTCTGTATTTAAGGGTATAAGGACCTGTCTCCAGGTTTCTACCAAAATGGCTATGAACCTTATGCCGTGCTTTCCCACTCTGATCCATCAGCGTCAGCTCGAACAACGCCCTAACATCCGTCCCCTCGCTGGCCAGCGCAATGAACAAAGACACGTAATTCCCGTTATCCTCGGGACTCTTCCCGTCGGGATAAAAGTAGATCGCCCAAGCGTAACCCCCGACGAAGAACGTCTCGGAAGCTATGTACTTGCCGACGCCCATCCCCTTGGACAGCGAGTAGCCACTGATGTCGAACTCGTGGGAGCCATTGATGGTCTCGTTCCTCGAGGTGGAGGTCGTCACCGAGAGCGGGGATTGCGACGTCGACGAGCTCGGCTTGTTCGCGAGATCACTGTCGCGAACCCTAATTGCGTCCATCAACCGGTAGAGAAATGGAAATACGGGTGAATCCGATTACCCCCAGCAGCTTTACCCGGGAGAATTGTCGAGGGAATTCGACGAATTCGTGCGGCGGTCGCGACTCAGCGCGGGGAAGTCCCGGGTGCACGTCGGGGCGAAATCGGGGTTTTGGAAAGGGGAAAAAAGAGGGAAATTGATAATTGGAGGGGCCGGTAGGGTAGGAAACAGAAGATTGGGAGGTAGATCTAAGTTGCCGACGGAAATCGGCGGCGGAGGAAGGCGGTGATCGGAAGAAGAAGGTGGGCGATGACCTTTTTCTTCTGGTGGGCGAGATGAAAAAAACGTGACAGATTATTATCGAAATGAAGACGGAAGCCATTACTGATGAAATGAAGTCCTTTATATACGTCACATTCTGTTATCTCTTCTGTCAAACAAACCTATTCTCCTTCATTTTTTCCGTTACCTTTTCGCCGGTAAAAAAGAAGGGATCGTTGTTGTCTTTTGGGCCCCCTCCGCTTTGCTTTAGTTTCCGTTAAACCATTTCTTATAATTCGTTAGTCACTCATAGTCTGATACGATTGCATATTCGATTTAATTGTATTTATAGATTGGCCGGAGGTTTATGGGTCGGGGTTTGTTATTGTTGATGGAATTTTCTCGTATCGTGAAAAAAAAAAAAAACTCTATTCCGATTAACTTGTTACACTATTTCTATTAACTAGCCTATAGCCCGGCCCGTTGGCCGCATTTGTTTAAGGAAATGGAGTTACAATATCTATAATGATAGTGTCGAAAAATGAGTCTTGTTTTATATTATCATAGGATTGTTGCAATTTTGCAATTCGTTGAAGACGAACATGTAATATGAATGAACATTCATAATAAGTTAGAAATACATTTGAAGATTAGCTAATCACAATAAAAATACTTACATG